TCCTTCTGGCCAGGTCTATGGAGAACTGGTCCAGACCGGAACAAAACTTACTACATAAGGTGACCTTGACTGCCAGGAGGGCCCTGGCTCAAGTATGGCTACAGGGAGAGACTCCCCCTCTCAATGTGGTGATACAAAAGATTAAGGACACATACATCATGGACGAATTAACTGCACAGGTTCGGGGCACTATGAAGAAAATGGAAAAGGTTTGGGGCCCGTGGATAGATAGCAGGGTGGGCGATTAGGGGAGGAGGGGACGGGCTCATCCCCAGCGTACCCCGACACGCCTCTACAGACATTGAAATTGATAGCAAACTCTCATCTTCCCTCTATAGTGGGACCCTTGGGATCCCACCGAGAAGTCCACGGGCTACAGCTTTCCCCATGGGCGTGGCGGTCCTCGCTTAAACTTACCGGCACGTGGCTACCCGGCTGCCTGGTCGGGCCGGCATCATCACAATTTTCGGAATATCACTATAATACCCCCTTCTCTCTCTTTTCCTTTCTTTTTCCTCTCATAGTACTTACTTTCCGGTTAAACTATTCTTTTTCTATCTTATAAAATCTTTTTTTTTTTTTTTATCTGACTGACTGCTGATCAGTGACCATCTAGCCAACTAGATCCTTCTTGGTTGGGGCGGGCTTAGGGGCGATTATAGGTGGCGCGCTAGTAAAATGGTATTACACAAATGGCAACCTTGTACACTAGGTTTGAGTTCGCTGACTTAGCTTAGCTAAAATTTTAATGCATTCTATTGGTCACTGATGATAGGTAACGCGAAATACTACCATGTGTTTTATAGTCAGTCAGGAGTCTTTGTATTACTTATTTCAAAATGGGTGGGATGCCGCAGTAACCAGTCTCTCATAGTCAACAAGCATATGGTAGATACAATGTTTTTGGTTGGTTGTAAGGACATGTAAAAATAATCGCTCTTAACTAATGTTGACTTTTGACTGTGATTTTGTTCATATTTGCATCATGTTGCATATCTTACTGTGGTGTCTGATCTTGTTATAAATAAAGAATAAAAAAAAAAAAAAAAAATAGAGCTAGCATTTATCCAATGTTAAATTTACATTGGGACTCACTAATAATTTGACAGTGGTGGGCTCCGCACACTATGGCTACTTGGTGCTAGCTGAATCCCCATATCTCTAACTTGATACGGTAAGTGGCAGCAGGTGAATGTTAAGATGGCAGGGTGCTGACTCCACCATTGGAATTCATCTCTGCCCATATTCTCTGTATACTTCACCCCCACTCATATTCTCTGCATACTTTACACCCTGGTATGATTGATCATGCTCAGGTTACCAACATACTCAATCATTGATACAGTGAGCTATATTCTGTTCAAAATCATAAACCTGTAGAAACACAAATATTGGAGACAACAATTTACTTTAAAGTGATACTATAGTCAACAAAACAACTTTAGCTTATTGAAGCAGTTTTGGTCTATAGATCATGCCTTTGCAGTTTTACTGCACAATTCTCTGCCATTTAGGAGTTAAATCACTTTGTATATACAGCCCTTGTCATGCCTCCCTGTATGCCTTGCTAAAGCCTTCCTAAATACTTCCTGTAAAGAGGCATCTAATGTTAACACTTGCTTTACTGCAAATTCTGTTTAATCTAGAATTTTTCTTTTATCGCCTGCTCTGGTAATAGCTTGCTATACCCTACAGCCTCCTGTGTGTAATTAAAGTTCAATTTACAGAGCAGGATATAAAACCTTTTGACATAAGATACATCTGATTGAAAGGGAAACCATTTTTTTCATGCAGGCTATATGGCCGGGGCTGCATAAACAGATACAAAAGTGATTTAACTCCTAAATGGCAGGGAATTGAGCACGGAGCATGATCTGTACACAAAAATGGCTTCATTAAGCTAATGATGTTTTGGTGACTCTAGGGTCCCTTTAATTATATGCAAAAATAGGTATTGAAGACTTATGCTCAATTGTAAAAAAAAACAAAACTTTATTTATTGCTGACAGTTTTTCAGTCTCTTATCTGATATTGTACACTGGGTATGCTTCTATACATGCCTCATAGTGAAAAGATTTAAACTTTATGTGAAAGATTAAAGTGGCACTCTACACACCTAAAGAACAGTGTATTCTTTTTTTTACAAACTGCCGATTTCAACAATAATTAACCTTGTTACACTACCCTGGCTGTCTTACTCAGTGGAGCTAAACTCAAGAGGCCTTAATTGCCCAGCGCACCTACCTTATAAACTTCTGAATGGGCTACGTTTGGAAGTCTGTGACTGGACAGCTACATAAAGTCTGTGTTTAGGAAGAAGGGGGCTTTACAAAGGCTGAAGACAAGAGATTTGCAGCTTTTTCAAGCAGTTTTAGATATAACAAATGAAAACAGTTCATCATTACAAACATGCAATACAATAAAACAAAAATCCATTGGAGTGTTCCTTTAAAATCTACATATGTCATCTCATCTCCCATCTAATATATACTTATTTTTATGAAAGTGGATGGCATTGAATTGTTTCACCAAGATGAAAGGAAGGTACCGCAACTCTGGACAGTTCCTATTTTGGCATATCTAGGTAGCAATTCACCTTCATCAAGTCACATTTGTGATAACAATATGCATTATCACACTGATTTTTCTTTCATCTTGGTTTATGGCATAATTTGAATGATTGAAGTCCATCAAGTTTAGCTTCTCGCACATCTCTATTACTATTAACTATTACATATCTTTGAAATTTGAAAAAGGTACACTTTTTCTAGTATTGTGATATCCTTTAAAACAGGTGCCCAAAATTGTACTCTATGTTCAAGTGGGGTCCTACCATTGATTTATAAAGAGGCAAATTAAATTTTTGTCTTGTGAATTCATACCCATTTTTATACAGACCAGGGCTGGCGTTACCATAAGGCGAATTAGGCATTCACCTGGAGAGCTAGCTCCAAGGCCGGTACCGGGTCCCCATTGCATGTTCCCGCTAGGATAATATCAACACAGAGGAAGAAAGTGGTCTGAACACTAGGCAGATCAAAGTGAACTCTTCCTTGTGATCCCAGTGATTGTCAGGGACTCAAAGTACTGTAGACAGTGCTCTGAGCCAATGAGTGCCAGACCCTCAGTATCATCTGCTCAGACTTAATCACCAGCGATCCTGATACATCCCCATTACACCACAGAGCCTACTAACATCTCCTGTCCAAGATAAGCAAAAGGGAGGGAACCCAGTGATGCCAATATCCCTCCCACAACATTCAGTCAACCCCCCATGCCCAACATGCACCCTACACAAAATGTTTTAGTCACCCTTCTGTTTCCAACCTTTTAGCTGCAGGAGGATGACTTTGCCTAGGTCCAGTGGATCAGCCTGATGGGTGTCAGAGTTACCACGCTGACTCCCTCCTCTCCTTCCTCCCGCGCGGCGCTGTGTGTAAATTATGAGGAGTGACCAGGGCAGTCACTTCCTCTCAGCTCTGATGTCATCACAGGGGGCCCGGTCGCGCTGTTAAAGCGCCATAGCGCTGGCCAGGCCCCCTGGAAATTAATTTCCATTGGGTGGCCCTAACAGCATGTTCTACGGCGAAGGCCGGGGCCGCAACACACTGCGGCAGGCACCGTGGTCACAGGGGTTCGCACAGCGGCCAGACCCCCTGGAGTGGCGGGCCCAGTCGCAGCTGCGACCACGGTAGTTCTGCCACTGGTGGGGGATAGAAGTCCCATCTAATTCATCCTACATGTGCCTCTCTGTCAATCCCATCCCTGTCTCTACAACAGCACCCATTTTACCTTTCTAAAAAGGAACATACATGGTGTGAGCTATCTCTGCTACCAGACGACTCCTTATCTTCTGCACTCTGCATGAGAAGGGAGCACAGGAAGTAATGTCACTTTCCAGACCCTGCCTCTTATCACATAGAGACCCACAATGCATGGCTGTGTAGCTGGGCCACTGACTGCTTCGGGACCTTAGTTCATGACCAATGTCCCCGAGTGGTCAGTCTGCCCCTGTCCTACACACTAACACCTAGCTAACTGCCACCAAACACCACATAGCCAAGCATCCACACACACAACACTAACCTTCTTGCCACCTAAAACACTCAGCTGACCCCTCCTCCCACCCCAGACTCCACAAAACCACAGACTTTATGATATACACCTTTACATGCACATTCTGAAACCTCACACAAAATTCAGCACATGTAGACTGGTTGCAAATGCTAGTTATGAAGAAAGCATACACCTCCTAACTGTTCCTATTTAGGAGGCACAGTAACTATTTTGGGACCAAATCCCTCTGTTCATCTTTTCTTTCCTAATGTCCCTCTTTTCTAGGAGCTCCATATAGTTGATGTGTCTGAGTTTATAACAGAGCTTCATAGTAATAATACTCCCAGTAATGTGTATTTAAATGTAAATGTGTTTAAAGATCAGTCTGTGTAAATAAAATGTGTTCTTGTTCTAAATTACATTTTAGGTACAAAAATTGTTATTAGTAGGAACACCCCCCACACCCGTAAAATGAATATGTCCCTTGTCGTCCATTTGAAATGTTGGGTTTAATAACAAAAAATGGGACAGATAGACTCGAAGAGAATTAACAGGAAAAAGAAAGCAAGTTGGAGGACAGAGACATATGATGCATGAGGCAGATGGAAAGGTGCAAAAAAAAGAGTGGGAGAAAGAATACACACTGATACACACACTCAGGAACTGTATACACACTTTGCTATACACTTAAACAACATACACATGTTGTAAGTAGTTTTTAGTGATTTAGGGAATTTTCCCATTCCAAATGTTTATTCCCCTTTTACTCTTTGTGTCACCCCCTGTGGTATTACGTAACATGTGGTGATGTCATGCATGTATACTTATACATGTTTGCATATCCAGTATTTATTTTTTCAAAAAATGTGAGAACGGGGCAATCCTGCTAATGTGTTATGGTTGGCTCAAGGAAACCTGAGAGTGATGGGAATTACATTGAACAACATCTTTAAGGTAAGTGCCCTCTAAGCCAAGTCCCTAAACCCTTAGTTGTGCTGTAATATGACTCAATACATCTTAACCAGTGGTGTATTCTGTTTTTTTGCTGCCCTAGGCATGACAAAGCTCAGGCACCACCCCCCTTCTAAAGTTCACTTCCTGTTAAAAAACAACACGCTCTGACAGACATACACTTGCTGGCAGATACACAGTCATTGTCCTGAAACATACACACTCACTGACAGACACGCACACTCACATTCACCGACAGACACACTGACACACGATCTCACTAACAGATACACACTCACTGACAAGACATATACACACTCACTCAGACACACATATACTCACTGACAGACACACTGACAAACACACATACACATTCACTGACAGACACACATACACTCAGTGTCAGACACACACATTTGTTAACAGATACACACTCTCAGTGACAGACACGCATAGACACACTGACAGAAATACACATTCACTAACAGACATAAACACTCTTACTGACACACACTCTTTGACAGACAGACACTCACACTAACTAACAGACACAAACAAACCCACTCACTGACACACACTCTCACTAACAGATACACATACTCTCAGTAACAGACACAGGCAGGCCCGGACTGGCCATCGGGCACACCGGGCAAATGCCCGGTGGGCCGCGATGGCCGTGGGGCCGAGGCCGGCAGGGAGATCACAGGATCTCCCCGGCCGGCCCCTGCAGGGCCAGCGCTACCCGAGCGCCAGCCCTGCTGTGTGCCTCCATGGGCCGGTGGGGAGATCAAAGATCTCCCTCACCGGCCCACAGACACTGTTACACGCGGCCGCCGGCTGGGGAGGGAGGAGAGAGGACCGGCGGAGCTCTAACCAGCAGCTCCGCCGGGTCCTCTCGCGGGATTCTGAGCGTTGCCGCGGTTACCACGGCAACGCTCAGATCTCGCGAGAGTGAACTCTAGCCTGCAGGTTAGAGTTCACTCTCACCACTGGGCCACCAGGGATCAGGCAGCATGGCTCTCCCATGGCAGAACGGCTCCCCCCCGTCCCAGGCAAAACGGTTCCCCCCCCTCCCAGGCTAAAGGTAAGAAGGGAGGGGGGGGATATAACTTTTTTTTATTATATATAAAAATATATTTTTAAATTTAAATAAGCACTCACACACACTCACACACAGCACACACACAGCACCCTCAGACACACACAGCACCCTCAGACACACACAGCACCCTCAGACACACACAGCTCCCTCAGACACACACAGCACCCTCAGACACACACAGCACCCTCAGACACACACAGCACAGACACACACACCCTCAGACACACACAGCCCCCAGACACACGCAGCCCCCAGACACACACGCAGCACCCAGACACACGCAGCACCCAGACACACGCAACACCCTCAGACACACAGCCCCCTCAGACACACACAGCACACACAGCACCCTCAGACACACACAGCACTCAGACACACACAGCACCCTCAGACACACACAGCACCCTCAGACACACGCAGCTCCCTCAGACACACGCAGCTCCCTCAGACACACGCAGCTCCCTCAGACACACGCAGCCCCCAGACACACGCAGCACCCAGACACACACGCAGCACCCCGAACACCACGCAGCACCCTCCAGACACACGGCCCCCTCAGACACACAGCACCCTCAGACACACAGCACCCTCAGACACACCCAGCACCCTCAGACACACAGCACCCCGAACACACACAGGCACAGCACCTCAGACACACACAGCACTTTAGACACACAGCACCCAGACACACAACACCCTCAGGCACACAGCGCACCAAGGCCACACACAGCACCCAGACACACACAGCGCAGACACACACAGCACCCTCAGACACACACAGCACCCAGACACACACAGCACCTCGAACACACGCACAGCCCCCCAGACACACATGCAGCACCCAGACACACGCAGCACCCTCAGACACACAGCACCCTCAGACACACGCAGCACCCAGACACACACGCAGCACCCAGACACACACAACACCCTCAGACACACACAACACCCTCAGACACACACAGCACCCAGACACACACAGCACCCTCAGATACACACAGCACCCTCAGATACACACAGCACCCAGACACACACAGCACCCTCAGGCACACAGCACCCTCAGGCACACACACACAGCACCCTCAGGCACACACACACAGCACCCTCAGACACACACAGTACCCTCAGACAGACACTGCTCCCTCAGAGAGACAGCACCCTCACTCACACAGCACCCACACACAGCACACTCCCACACATATACAGCACACACACACACACACATATATATATATATATAATAAATAAAATAACCCTCAGTGAGTTAACAGACAAAAAAAATTAGAAACCTAGAATGTGACGGCAGATAAAAACACATTCACACACAGCACCCCTCTTACACACACACACACACACACTGCGCCCCTCACACATACAATACGTCCAAATATAAATATATATATACACACTACAGCACCCCTCACACTACACACATTATGCTCCAGATACACGCTAGATCCCTTACCCTATATGCACTCTTAATCCTCTACACACAAACACACACACATGCAATCTCCTATACACACTCTGAGTCCTTTACACACTAGATCTCCTACACACACACTGCCCCTAGCCACACATATTACACCACAAACACAAATGAAATTGACCTATTTACACAAAACCACACCACACTCTACACACACGCAATCCCACAAGCAGGCTCCAAACACATGCACCATACGCTTTCCTGGCCCTTTTGTCCTCTGGTATCCCACTTGTGGAGACACCAGAGACAATTTAAAAGCAAACACAGCGCAAGCATGTTATTAAATTTGCTTGCGCTGCGCAGAACAAATACAGGGCCTTTTTCTAATGCTAGAGCTCTTTAGCAGGGCTCTGCGCATTGAACCAACATGCTCACTTTGAGAGGGGGCGTGTTTGTCTCTAGCCCCGCCCCCTACTTCGGGGGCCGCTCTGATTGAAAAATGCCCGGGCCGAATTTTTTTCCCAGTCCGGCCCTGGACACAGGCACACTAACACACTCACCAACAGACACACTAACACACTCACCAACAGACACACACACACACTCACTAACAGACACACTCACTCACTCACTGACACACTAGCACACTCACCAACAGACACACACTCTCACTAATAGTCAGACACACTCACTAACTGTCACGGGTGGTAGTACGGAAACCTGGACCCCTGAGTGCCTGAAGTGGAGATGAGCGGAGTCTTCAGCGAGGTAGTGGATTACCAGGGCCTAGTGCTGGGTAACCACACGTCCTCTGGCGTTGAGCACCAGCGTTTGCGCGGCCATATACCAGAACCCTGATGCAGCTACAGCGGATCCCAGGAACTTGATATGCAGACCTCCCAGGAGCTGAATAGGGAGGCTCTGCAGCAAGAATGTATCCAGTACAGAAAACAAGGCAAGGCTAGGATAGTCACAAAACATGAAAACAAGACAGAAATAGTAGAACCCAGAACCAGAGAGGGATAGGATAGAAAACCAAGAAAAACTAAACAAGAATTGTAAAAAGAGTACTGGATACCAGAAGCCATCACCAGACTGATCCGCAGAACAAGGCATGATGTGACACTAACAAACATACACACTCTCACTGACAAACACTCTCACTAACAGACACACACACACTCTCACTTACAGAGACACACACACTCTCACTATAAGACACACACTAACACTCACTAACAATTTTTTTTATTATTTGCTTACATTTTGGTGTTATTTTGATGGATTCTTCGCTGGGGTCCAGTGCTGCTGGCAGGGCAATGCAGGGGGTCTGCTGGGCAGTCGGAAAGGCAGGTGTACAGTTCAGGCAGGTGACGAGGGAGCTCTCAACCTAGTGCTCAGCTCCATCGCGCGCCTCTTAGTGATAACAGAGCCGGAATGATGTCATATTCCGGCTCCGGCATTACTGCAGGGCCCGCAAGCGAGCTGAGCGGGGAAGAGCTCAGGGGGGAGTGCTCCCTCGCCACCCGCCTCCCACATCAGCGCATGCCAGCCTCTAGGGTGTCCCTGAGGTGGCTGGTGGGCAAGCTCTTGGGCTCCCCAGGACAAGAGTCTGACATGGCATCTGCTGGGGTGTTTGGGGGCAGCTTTTTTTTTTGTCGCCCCCCTGAAAGTGCCGCCCAAGGCAAATGCCTTGTCAGCCTCGCGGTAAATACACTGCTGATCTTAATAGTGGCACATTCTTGTACCCAGTGTCATTATATTAGGTATCAGGTCCTGCATGAAAAGGTTTCACACTCAACATATACAACATAGGTGTAGCGATCTTATACCTCTCTCCATCGCGCCCACGTGGTGCAGCACCCGAAGCCAGCTCCTCTGACAGCATGTTCGGCATGTCCCACGCCGGAAGCTGGAGTCACGCCCCTTTTAATGACGCAATGCATACGTGCCGACGTCATTAAAATTACAGCTTCCACAACATGTGGCTGAAGCTACCCTGCAACCAGACACTGCCAAACTTACTCTTTTGGTCATTTGTCCAAATATTACCAGAGATTGGGTTCTTGGACAATGAGGCCTAGTGCACCAAAGGTGGTAGAAGCAGCCGATCTGCTGACCTGGCGCTGCATATGCGCTGACGATTATTGAGCTGTGCCCCCCCCCTGGACTGGTGTGGGTTATTGCGGTTATCACTGGAGTGTAACGTTTCCATTAGCTCTTCACTGCAAGCAAAAAGGAGTTATTACAAGAGTGCAAAAGTACAATGAAGTTTAGCATATAGAGAAACATGAGTACGTAAGATATGAGAGACAAACAAGAATAAACTCCTAGTCAATAAAGCCTTATTTTAAAGTAATAAAGAAAAAAAAATTGTGAACACATGTCTAAATGGGTATTATCTAAGCTTTCTGTCACGTGAGGTAAACATGTAAAACATGATAAACAAAACAGACTATGCACCCTGTTCCAAATTATTATGCAAATTCTATTTAAGTGTCACAAAGATTAAATATTTTGTTTTTCAGTTTAACCCCTTAAGGACGGAGGGCGTACTATTACGCCCTGCAGGAGCCGGCTCTAAACGCCGGCGGGCGTAATAGTACGCCCTCACTTTAATGGCCGCCCATGTGGCCGGCGCTATTCGCCCGCTGCAGATCGCGGTCGGGGGGGATGCCCGGCCCCCCAGGCAACCCCCCCTGTGGCCGGTGACCGCGATCTGCAGTCACTGATCGCAGTGACAGGCTGTCACTGCGATCAGTTTTTAACGTGTGTCAGCCGATTTCAAATCGGCTGACACACGTGGCCGGCGGCTTTCTGCAATGCAGATCGCGGTCGGGGGACTTACCTGGCCCCCAGGCAGTCCCCCTGGGGTCAGTGACCGCGATCTGCACTGTCTGAGATCGCAG